TGTGGAGAGGAGGAGGAAACTGCCGAACACCTGATAATGTTTTGTAAAGGGCTTCACCCTACAGTTCAGGATGATGGTGCAGAGTTTTCCAATGCACTGGGGTTTAGGGACAGCGAGGGCAAAAAAGGCTTTAAGTGGGTAGAAATAACTAGAAGAAGGTTATCTGATTGGTGGCTAAAATCAAGGCACGAGTGAAAATTAAATCCTTCATTGCAAAGTGCCGTTGTCAGAGTACCAGTCTTTCACTTCACTACTTAAAGGGGAAAAAAAAGAAATCTAGTTGCTGGGTCACGGAGTATTACGGCTAGGTGGCATTAGCCACCGCCCGATCTAAAGGGTACAGCTATATCAATCCATCCATCCAATCGAAAATGAAAGAGAGAAAGGGTGTGGCAGCTGTTTTTGTTCTCACGCGGCAGGCATCTAAATAGAGGAGGCGTTGAATAAACTACAGTGCTAGAATATAAAAGTGTAATGAACGCGCCGTCTAGTGCGTAACGCCTTAGGAGGAAACCGCCAAGTGGCGCTGACACACGTCGTTCATTCTCTACCTCTGTCCATCGGAATCGTCGGACACAATGCCGCAAGTCAGCTCGACGTTGCCTACCGGCAACATCCTTTGAACAAGTGGTGGAGGACTTCGAAGAGAATGCCATACATGCGCAGCAAACCACATACGAGGAGTTCGTTGGAGAGCTTTTACGCACTATGTGTCACTATGAGAAGCGAGTACAATCCCGAGGAGGCGCCAGACCAAAGGCCTGGTGGGACCAGCAGGTGAAAACGGCACTTGAAGCGCGACGTAAGGCCAATAGAGCTCATCAACACGCAGTAAAGTGCCTCTCGATTTAGGAATGCCAACAGGCGTGGCAGGAGTTCTTGCGGACCAAGAGACAGACATGCAACAGATGGTCCAGAAGAAAATCGCGGAAAGCAATAAAAAACAACTGCGTGCAATTACAGAAGCTGGCAACAATGAACCGCGCAAATTCTGGACATATATCTCGTCGCTCAACCGCGAGGCCCCCATTCCAACTCTCCGAGACGCAACAGGTCAAGCTGTCACAGACCTTACAGAACACCTGACAAGCCACATGCAGCGAATGTATGACAACCCGTCGCCAGAACAACAGGGAGTGTCGTACCAGCCTCGCGGAAAAGGATGTGAGATAGACAACGGCACCACGGCGGAGTGCGAATGGAAGGTGTCTCGTGTGGCAATCGACCGAGCCATGTCCAACATTGGAGCCCACAGCGCCAAAGAACTGGATGAAATTCCACCTGGGCTAGTGAAACGGCTTGGACAGAATGCAAGAGAGACCTTGGCGTCAATTTTTCACCGGCATTATTAATGGTTACCCCATCCCAGAGGACTGGCGCCGCGGCAAGGTGTGCCTGGTGCTTAAGAGGGGAGGCAACAGTGACCAACTGCACGATTATAGACCACTCACCGTCACCAGTGTGCTGTATAGACTTTTCACACAGGTCATCAAGAGATGGATGAGTGGGTGGGCGGAAACGCAGGGACCACTTACTGAGCTGCAAAATGGCTTCCGTAGGAATCGGCGAGGAGAGGACAATCTCTTTGTGCTCTACAGAGCATCGAGATCGCACGCAGGGAATCCCGCGGGCTAATCGCCTACTTTCTAGACGTGGCCAAGGCGTACGATAGCGTGCCACACGGGCACCTTCTTTCTCGGATGGAAGAACTCAATATGCCGCCTGTGTGGATTGAACTACTGCACCGACTCTACACTGGCAACACAGTTGAAACCACCATTGGTGGAACCCGCATGCGCCCAGTAACAGTACAGCGGGGACTGAAACAAGGCTGCCCTCTTTCCCCATTGCTGTATATATTATATACAGCGGGTCTGGAACATGCCCTCCTGGATTCAGGGGTGGGGTTCAAGCTCAATGGGTCCTACGACGGCACCCCAATGACTTGGACACTCCCCGGCCTTGTTTTCGCAGATGAGCTCGTGCTGCTGGCCGAAAATACAGCACAACTGCAGCATCTGGTCATGACATCAGCCAACCACCTGGACACCCTAGGCCTGGCCTTCACTCCGAAGAAGTCAGCGGTGCTCCAGTTCTCTGGTGATGGTGCTGAGGCTGCTCTGGTACTACCAAATGGCGAGGAGCTTCCAAGACTGGAGGAATACCGCTATCTAGGCGTGCTACTGTCCACCTCAGACAAGCTCATAGCGGAGCATAAAACCCACTTGAGACAAGTGGCACAGCGAGCCAGCAGCATACTGCGTCGACAATGCCTGTGCGGCTGCAGCCGATACCACATGGTGCGCGACCTGTGGAAAGCCGTACATGTACCTGGACTTACCTACGCTAACTCGGCCATATCTCTGTCAGCCCCAACACGGGGTTGGCTGGAACGTGCGCAACAAGAGGTGGGCCGCATAGCCTTGGGATGCCATGGCCGTGTCGCCGTGGAGGCTATCCAGGGGGATGTCGGATGGTCCACGTTCGAGGCTCGAGAGGCCCGCTGCAAAATCTCGTTCGAATGTCGGCTACGGACCATGAATGACAACAGGTGGGCACGCAGGCTCTTTCGATATATTTACATCAAGGGCATCCGCACTCAATGTAGGTCCAGAGTGATGTTCTTGAGGTGAAAATACGGCCTCCTCGACTATATCGAAACGGGACCTGAGCGAGAGACTGCAAAGGGCATTCGTGACCGTGTTCGTGAGGCAGAGGGAGAAATGTGGCATTCAGCCATGCTCCCTAAGACTACCCTCAACATCTACCGGGAAAGCAAGAGAGATATTGCGACGGAGCCAGCGCTGTACGACAACAGCTGTGGTGGTGCCCTCCTCTTCGAGGCTTGGGCAGGCGCGCTGCGCACTCTCGACTATCGAAGCTGTTATGATTGCGCCCTTGAGACGCGCGCGGTGGTGTGCAGGTCCTGCGGTGGCGAGCGGGAGACTATCGAGCACTTGCTCCTACGATGTTCGAAGTTGACTCCCCCTACGGTAGAGGGCACCACCCTACCGCAAGCCCTCAAATTTCTTGATGCGGAGGGAAACCGCTGTGGCAAAAGTGTGCGCACCACGAAAGCTCGCTTCGAAGTGTGGTGGAGGGACACAAGACGGTCACTCATGGCGGACACACATGGCACTGGAAGTGTGTGACTTGTGAACTTTGACGTGTGTGTTTTTTTTTAACTCATGTTTTCTTTCGTGTTTTTTTTTTCTTCTTTTTTTTACAATATGGCTAGGACACTTCATTGAGTCCGCCCGTTGCAAAGGGTACTTGGCCACATTATCTATCTATCTATCTGCCGTTGCGTAGGATGCCATCGTGTCGATTTTTGCAGCCACGTCATCTGGCGGGCTATATTTGTGGCACTTTTTTTTGTGTCTCCGAAGGCCGTACCGCACTTTCAATAAAGCATTGAGAGTGTCAATGTCCAGCCTGTTACGACGCCTGCACAATTCACAATGCTCATGTCGCTAAAGCACCGTTCAATACCAGCATTCGAGAAGGGCAGCGACAGCACTGTCATGGCGAGCGTGGCAAGCTCGGTGAAAGGGTTTTCGACATGCCCATCCTTGTAAGAACTTACTTCCTGCCAAAAAATACCGGTTCTGTTTGTACAGCACCATTTTACGGGCCACAAGTTTTTCCACTGCATTTCGCAAGCGGACACGGCTTCCACAGAGAGGAACTGCGATGCCAATTTCATAATTAGCTCTTGTATTAGCTTCAGTGCGTGCTCTACAGAAAGGAGGGAAGTCTTTTGCAAGCACTGAATGTTTTCGGGAAGCCGTTGGCGCAGCTGCTTGAATAGTTCCACGATGAAACGTCGACAGCAAAGGCGCAGCTTTTTTTCATCGTCGCATGGCAAGCATGCGTCTCGGAGTGCTGTTTCAAACCGGTGACCAAAGTACGGATTAGGGTCAAGATGCTCGTTGATATTGACTGTTAACATGTCGTATGGGGAAGTTGGTAGAGATACTTTGTTGGCTGTCGACTTCACAAGCATCATAAGATCGAAGAATTTCACCGGGTCTTGGTTTTCCACTTGGTATGATTTGTTGACACGCTGCACTTTAGTTAAACCCAGTAAAGCAGGAGTACGTAGCATTTGTTCTTGGTGTCACTGTACATTTCATAAAGCATCATTGCCGTGTAGCAACTTTTGTCTTTCTATGCATTTCCAAAAACTTCCTTCAGTTCGGTCCACTGGGCAAGTATTCTGTCAACTGCCGCATGTATTGACAACCAGCGTGCCTCACAGGCTAGCGGTATGGTAAACGGAGCCTCTCCGTCGTTTAGTTCACAGTATAAGCTTTGGTACTCCAGTTTCCTTGTTGAGGAGTGAGCAAACCATCGGTATGACTCCCTCACCAGAAATTCTATGTTTCTTGGCAAAGCAATCAACGCACGTGAAACAGCAAGTTGAAGAGACTGACAAACACATCGCACCATAATAATATGAGGAATTTCGTTTCTCAGACGTGTGTAGACGCCACTACTCACACTCCTATGCCAACAAGGTTTTTTGGGTTCAGACCCTTGGACCGCAATCCTTCTAAAAGCATTGAGGTGATGCTTTCAGCGTCGCATTTTTTGAGTTCTTGCTGCGTAAGGAAAGTTGAAATAACCTCACCGTTTGACTGAAAAAAAATACCTAATGGCGATGCCAAGGAGCTTCAGGACACTGATATCGGTCGACTCGTCAATCAGAACGCTGTACTTTTGGTGGCCAATATTGTCCCGCAATAATTTTTCGAAGTGCGGTCAAAGGACGTTCCTTATTATATTAGTGCACTTTGTGAGGTGAATCTTGAGCTTAGAGGCAACCTGGCTATCTTGAAAAATCCGCTTGCAAGCTTCTCCGAGGTGATCCATGGTGTTCATGGCACACTGCTCAGCGACAAAACAAATGGCTCCTGCGCAATGGAAAAACACATTCGATGATCTGTGCAGTGATCATCGAGTATTAGAAATCAGGATAGAAACCATGGTTGCCGCAGAAATTCAGAGACAGATAAACTGACGGAAAGATGGCCGCCATGTTTAAAGATCCAGTTGTAGTGAGATGCCGAGTAGTCAGACGAGTCAGAGCAGACGGCAGTCAACGAAATTCGGCTCAGCAGGCTTCTTCGTACGTCGAAAATGGATGATAGTGAGAATACAACTTCGTTTGATGATCGAAGTGAGGCGTACTCAGAAGTATCTGCGAGGGACTGTTTAGCCGAGGGCATAATTGGCCTTCTGCTTCCAACTGTCGAGCAAATAGACGAGCGTGTGAAGTCCACAAGGTGCGTGTCTCAGCTGCTCATCAGACATTTTCGGGAATGCCCAGGGTAAAACTCGTTACTACGTGACAAATTGAACATTTAATGGGATAACTGTGATTGCTTGGTGGTCTTTGATCTTTTCGCTGTGTGTTGACGAACCTCATCAGCTGTTTAACGAGTTCACAGTTAGCGCGCGGCTTATGTTGTGCGTCTGTCTCTCTGTTTTTACTATTTCACTACTATCTAGAGTGAAACGTTGAGAAAAAGCTGCTTCAACGAGGCACATTTCAAGCTCGGCTTGTTTTACAGTCATTCATTCGATATAGGTGATTTGATTTCTGCGCTTTGCGGGACCAATTTCTTGAAATAAACATTGGTTTGACGTGTAGCCGTACATTCCGCCTTCTAATCAATCATCTTGTACGCTTCATTTCCAGGATCAGTCAGCTAGAGCTTCGTCAGCATATTGACACCTTGGCAGAGGGTAAGACGCTGAATTTGCATTTATTTATCGAATGCTGTCGAGATGAAAGACTGAGAAACCCTCACCTCAAAGTAGCGTTTCGGACTTTAATTCACTTCAGTTTGTTGTTTCCAACGCATGCAGGTTTGTTGAGTGTTCATATATATGTCTTGTAAGTCAATATTTCTGGCAGTTACCGATGCTTTGAGCTAGTTCATGTTGAAAACGCACGAAATGTTGGTGTTTCACTTGCGATCGGCCTTTATCAAGATAATTCATACAGACATATATGGCAACCGTTCTACGTCGGCATACCGTACGGCCGTGTCGACACAACTCTAAAGTTTTCCTTCGTAAGGTGTAATATATGTAATTCTTCAAATGTGTTTTTAAAGGCAGCATAAATGCAAGTCCTCTGGCTTTGTTGATTCTCTGGACTTTCTTTTGCAGTTTGTTGTGTCAATATGCTCCAGCTGAAAAATATTAAGTAGCATATATAAATTTGTGAAGTAAGCTCATGAATAAGATCATTTGTACTGGACAAAACATAAAAATAAATATTTGTGCTATTTTTCAACATTGTGAGCTTATTAAAAAAAACAAAATATGCACACACACACACACACACACACACATTATTTTAATAATCTGCAAAGCGCGGAGTTTGGCATTTGATGGGCTGTTTTTGTCGTTGTGCATAGAAACGCTGTTTGATTAATCAATATTGCAAAATGACATGACCTTGCAGACCTTCGTGCATTGTCTGAAAAGCAGCAGATACCATATGACCTTGACAGCTATGTCAAGAAACTTGTAAATGCGAAAAGGAGGGTAGTTCTCGTCAACAGTATTCTTCAGAACACCCAGGTATGTATGCGCATTCTGTTTGATAGTACCTGAACATCTATATCACTAAATGCGTACTGTCTGTGTGGCCTCTGCTGTGGTTTTGTATGAACCAGGGGTTGGCACCCTACAGCGTGCGAGGCGGTAGAATGTGGCCCCCCGGCACGACATCCCCCTGTCCTTGTCATATTTTACAGAACTGCTATTTTGACCTCAAATGGGTTTTGGCTTGTAATATATGTTTGTAAATTGCGACTTTGTCACATTTGGGAGAAAACAAATGTCAATTCGATATTTCTGTTGCAGTTTTTTTACATTTTTCTGAATTTTCAGATTTTTTTCCCTTTGCCTGCTCTGCCATGCAGTGTCAGCTTCAACCAACTCGGCCCTCTGCCTCAAAAGGTTGCCGACCCTGTTGTAAACCGTAGCACTTGTTCCTATATTGTGAAGCAGGCCTCCACTTGGCACTCCACTTCGACTCAAGAAAGTCGATGGCTGCATCACTCCTCTGTCGAAAAATTTGCACTTCTTTATAGAAAGACCAAGTGTCACTTCAGTGACACTTGATAGCAATTCAGTGTGCTGTCTTATTCAGTTGAGGAGCTGCACAGTGCTACACTTTCGGTGTGTAGGAACAGCTTTTAGTCAAATATTGTTGAAGAAGACTGGGGTTCGTCTCATTTTTTTATGACATGTTGATATTGGCTGCTATGGTTCTTGTTAGCAGGAAAATTAGATTTTGCATCCTAGTGTAACAGTAAACATAACATATTGTAGCGATGCTGAGGCAGACAAGCTAAAGAAAAACAAGCGTCTTTATTACGGCGAACTTGTGCCCACGAGTCTAATGACTATGGTTGTCGAAGTCCGAGTAGTCGAGTTGCACAGATCCAACTGTCTTCCTCTTCCTCGTAGACCGAATGCACGAGCGCGTGGTGCATGCCAGCCGAGTCTTGCCTGGTGCTTGTGCCACGATGATTGCGGCGAGCTACTTGAACGTGGCCAACCTGTCACGGCAATATGCTAACAGCCGAGAGTACAAAAAGTCATGCAGGGACACTTTGCTGTTTAGTGTCTGTGTTATGCATAGGCACTAAGTATAAAACTTTTTGATGAAACTTGCTTTTTGTGAGTGAGTTTTTCACAACATTGTTTAATATAGTGCATGACACGTACAAGAGTTGTTGTATGTTCTCGTGTATAACCTACACGAAAAATACAAGCAATTCATAGTAAAAGTTGGGGTGTAAGTTATCCGCAAATTTTGATGTGCAAGATAGTTTCACATCAGCCCTAAACATGCTTGGTGCTAAACCAACATGCATAATCGTGCGTCATTGCTAAACACGAGATGGGGTTGATTGAAATTTTCAATGTTGTCGTTTGAAGAAGCTTCAAGAAGTGCTCTGTTAGAAATAGTATGAGTGACGTGAAAGACAATGTCATATATGAGATTAGCAACAGTGAAAGTGACAAGGGAGGTGGCTGTTACTGTGATGGCTGAAGCTGGAAGTCGGTGATGATGGTGGATGGAAACTGGTGCTCTGTGACTCTCTGCCCGCACCAGTTCTGCTTCTGTTAGCTCTGTTTTTAGGATGTTAGTTTTTCACATATATTTGCTTTCACCATTATTTTATGTTCACTCCTCTCTCTGGCTAGCTGCAGTACTTGTGTCCATCCTCTTCAACCCCATCTCAAGCACCTTTCACTATAAAAGTGATAGTATATTGCCACTTCTGTTTGGAAGTAGAAGTTGATATGACGCGAATTCCCCTTGACTCTGGAAATGTTGGGCAAATTTCTGGGAGATGTGTTGACACTGGAAGTTGAAAAGACAAGTGAGAGAGCAGCACTGAGAAGGAGACAAGATGAAACCAGCGTGGGAATGTAAGGAACACTCAAAGAGGGGCACGACACCTTGCTAGACTTGGAAATATGTATAATTGAAAAAACATTAGGATTGTGCTTGTTTTCATTTCTTGTTTTCTGGAGTTAAACAAATTTGTGAGTACGAACCCTGTGAACTTAATGTGCTGAAAACTGCATTGCAAAAAGGACAACGGATGAAAAGAATGACACAAAAAAGCAAAAAAAACGCTGCTGAATTTGTTCTTAGATGTAATGAGCCCACTTTATTCAATGCACGAACTCCTGGTCAATGGTCTGGTTGAATTTTTAGGTATCTGGTTCCAGTTTATGGTGTTGGCACCTGCTGATGCTATGAAGCGTGCACTGAAAAAACTGCATCTGCCATTGAAGTCCACCCACTCAATGCTCATTCAATGAGCTATTGCCACATTGTGCTTAAAAGCGTGTGCTAGGAAAACTGCGCATGAAAATGCACTTTAAGAAAAATACTTCCTTGGTTTTCTAGCTAGCTATTGATTAAATTGTCAGGATTGCTGGCCCAACCTGGAAAACACTTCTCTAATTAAAAACATTAGACATGTGACATGATAAGTTGTAGAACCTGAACACATTTCCAATCTCAGGACATGTCCTCCAACATTGAAAAGCCTTGCCTCTAAAATGCTCTTAGATAAATGGTTGGCATATTACACAAGCACAAATGATGACGTAGTGTACCAGACAGCATATACCTATATGCAAGGATTTCCAAATAAAAGTTGTTAAAACTTCAGTGCTTGTCCTTTTTGTCTAGTTTCATCTGTGTATATTTTTCTTGCACTGAAGTCTTTTGCGAATTCGCGCCAATAAGCCCAACTTGCCGCTTGAATAAGGAGGAGTATAGGTTGGCGGTACCTAACCAGGTTGGAGGAAACATTGTATGAAGGGGCTTTGGGTGGCACAGCAGTGCATTCCAAGTCCAACTGTGGCCGTTCTATTCATATATGGCTCACTAGTGCAGTTTGCTTGTGTTTTGCTCGTGCAGCTTTCTAAGGGAGGCCACAGAAGTCCACTTGCAACATAAAAAGATAATGGTTATTGATATAAATTTAAAGAAATTAGTTTGTATCATGATATTATATGTGAAAAAAAAAGATTCAAGTTCTTCAACTTCTTCACGTTTATATAATACTTGCTATAAATAGCATCCCCTGTACTTTCCTTGGATTGACTGTCTATTCATTAATGTTATATGAAACCAAGAAAAACAAGCCTATATAATTCTCCATCTTTCGTTCCTTAATAACAAGGGTTTCATTCTGGCAGACTTGGAGCCTTCAGGTAGTATGCGATGGATTAATGGTCAACTGCCAGCTTAAAAAAAAAATCACATGCTATGTGATGCCAGCAAGCAGAAAAACAGTGCCTGTCATGGTTATGAGCGATGCTGACTAACACTGTCAGGTTTAAGTGCACGTATATAGTGAATAAAGTGGACGGGAGGATGACCGTCACTGTAGCTCATTTGGTAGAGCATTGGACACATTATTCGAGAGTTGCAGGTTCAGTCCCTGCTGGCAGCAAGTTGTCTTCTCATTCACTTTAATTTGTTCACATTCAGGTCATAATTACTCCAAATATCATTACCCATACTTTCCTTGGCTTAATTGTCTGTTAGTTCTCATTAATATACAGATATAGAATGGCAACTGTGGCGGGTAAATGTGCTAGAACTAAGAACTCGTAACGGTGGATGCTCTGTTGCAAAAACATTCAACAATAGTGGCTTTCATATGTGTAGCTGTTTGTGCAAAGACTTTACAAATACGACTTTGTTTTTACAGTAAAATCAATGCCAAAGGGCCACAGAAAATTACTAGCATGTTACATTTGTAACAGCTATTATTATCTTTCAGGTGAATTTTAATAGGGTGTTCAAAGCTTACAGTCGGTGTAATCTAATTCACTATCACCTGGCTAGAATGAAGGTGTTGTGATAGCTTTAAGTGTCATACTTTAGTTCAATGTTTGCCCGGAAATTTGCTTTTGGCTAAGTCTTGACTAATGTGTTTATCAAAGCAGTACATAGATACGCCATTGTAGGTGTCTCACCAAAGTCCTTACCCACCTTTTTCATGCATTTGTGCAAATCATCCTTATTTCCTACCTACGTGTTGCTTTGAAGGCCAAGTACAATGGTATTTTGGGTCCCACCCTAGAACACGCTAGCTTCAGATCAAGTACTATATGAGTAGTTGAAAGTTTTGCACTTAAGATATGTATGGATGTAAAAAGAAAGGTTTGCAAGAGTAGATGATTTTGATATTGAAGCTAAAGGAAACACTACTGTTATTTCTTTTCAAGAGTGGTGCTAAATTCAAGTCGCAGCTCCTTGGTATGACATTTCAAAATTAGGCAGCACTTGCTGCTGCCTGTAGTGCAGCGACAAACCACAGAAGCAAAAACACATGGGGTTTCTTATGCATGTGCCTAAAACATATGGAAGCTGGAAGCCATATTTTACTTCTCAGTTGATGTATTAATCCTCCCATGCCCTCTCCAAAAGCTTTCTGCACCTGATGTGGTCTTGCACTGCCTCTAAGATTGGGGGATTGTAAGATTTCTGCATCTTGCTTGCTTTGGCACTGCCTCTGTGATTGGCCTACATTAGACAGAGTGATGATCGGATGCGGTGACGTCGTCATGTGACTAGGACATCACAAATTTTGGCAATCAGTGATGTCACAATGACGTCATCATGTGATGATGATTTTGTCCCTTCGCCCATGTTGATGCCTATGCATTGGACAGTGGTTGACATTGACAGTCAATTTAGTGCTTGACGTCGTATCCAAGGATTTTGCCTGAACTTAGTGAAACTTGTGTCAAATACACTGAGTAACCAGGTGCACATCTGTAGGTGCTAGTTAGACACTGTTACTAAAAAATTAGACAATTTTCACCACTATGGCTTTGCTGAATTTGCTTTTGTAATGTGTACTACTAGTTTAGTGCAAAGTGAAATAGGTGCTTTTTTTTTTAGGGGCTTAAAGCAATTTTCAAGAAATCCTTTTCCTGGAGTAACAAAACAGTTTGCCTACACTACTAAAGATAGCCAGCACTTTTTTTTTAGTTTTAGTTGATCAGCCTAACTTACGTAAGCTAGTTGAATTAGTTGTTTGAACATACAAGCCTTTTAATTTTCTTGTGCATTTCTCTCAACAATGAAGCTGTTCTTAGGGGTCTACAACCATGTTCATTGCTTCCTTTTTGTGTCTATTTTGAAGGAACGACTGAACAGAATTAACCAGAGCATCACCCGTGAAAATGAGAGGCGTACAGCACTTTTGGAGCCACAAGTTTCTACGCCAAGTGAAGGACAGTAATGCGCAGCCCACTGTTTTATATCACAACATTCCTAAAGAGCAGTGATATTGCTTCCAGATGAGTATTTTGTATAGCTTATGATAAGCAATGTTGGTTCCTTACAAAATATGGACATGTTTAACGCACACTTTTTATCATTTTGTTTGCAGCGCACAACAGTAGCAGGAAACTATGTTAGTTGTAATGTTATGTTTTAGTTGTGTACAGTCAAGATACCTGTAACATGTATACTTTCTTTACTTTGAAATAGGACTGACAAACGAATCAATGAAGAACGGGCTACATGGTCACAGTACTCGTGAACACGTTTTGGAAGGTTCTGAATATCCTTGTGTAGAGATGCTCATTCGTGTTGCGGGAATGCTACATTGCGCAGTTGTACTACATCTCCAAGAAATCTAGGTTGCATCCTCTGGTTCTGCTCATAATAATGCGTTAGTATTTGGACAAGTTTTAGAAAGAAACAGTTATGCTATTGTAATAACGTGTAAATGTTCTAAAATAAATATGCAATGTCCATTCAGAGTTTGCACCTTGTCAAAAGTTAGTGGCAAAATGCTAGGCTGTATATTATGAGATGGAATAATTGGAAGCGCAAACCAACGGGACACAAGAGAAGAGACAAACAGCCATTATGAATTTGTACCAACTAGCCCGCCTGTCAACCCTACTATATATTATGAGCTCTTCCCTACTACTGTCAGCATCAAAAAGTAATCTCGAAATATAATATATGCAGATATTTATGTAAATTAAATGTGAAATATTTTTTCTCTTGCTGCTAAGTCAATTAATGCTGCCTTTTTGTGTTGGAAAGTAAAACTTTCGTATATTTGCCATGAAGCCTTTTTTTCTCTGGCCTCATATTCGCACAATTATACCTTTATTCTGGCTCTTCTTGTTTTCTTGAGCAGAATAAATTTATGTACTTTGCAAAAAGACTCTAGGGGTTCTTGGCGCTTTCTAAGAATGTGAAAGTCTACTTGAACCTTCTGTTGATCTGCTGTTGAAATTTTTGGATACGTGGTAAAACGTGTGATGAACACTGTCACACTGCTGAAACTGATGTCTGACTTAGTGCTGACATTCCGTTCGACTTTGTGATAGAATTTCTTCAGACTATACGTATTGAAATTTGGCTAGACTTTATGATAGCCGACCGAAGAACTGCTCATTCACTGTCATATACAGTCTTCTGACATTTATGAACTGTCGTATTGATGTTCATAGAACTTTGCAATACCTTCTGCCAGAGCTGTGTGGAACTGATGCTGTACTATGATCACAAGCATTGAAGTGTGTAAGCTCTCAAACCACTTTCTCTTTAATAAATTGCAATTAACTCAGAGCACGCCAACTGTTCTATTTATTTTCTTCTGTTCAGGCACTCTATTAAAAAGGTCCTGAACCACAACTTGTGCTATATGAAAGGACAAAACAGTGGTAAGCAGTAGCTGCGGGCGCAGCTTAGCCAAATCTTGATGTAGTGCTCGGCAAGGAGAGCATTAAGTTGCCACTTTTCAAAGCGCTTGTACAGAGGCCCGAATCCATGCCTTTTGGTGAGCCGTCAGACAACAGATGTTTTGTTACACAACACAACAGATGGCTGCTATTGGCCGATAGCTGACATAAACTTAGGGTGGTGTTAGAATCAGATGTTCTTCTTGCCACAGGGTGCCGGGAAGTGCTGGGGACTGCACTGGTACACATTAGCAACATTAGTGCAACCGGTATCTCAATGGGTAAGAACAATCGTGTTTTATGATGTGCATTCATGGTCATGACTTACACATGATGTAGGTTCTTTCCAGCCCTTGTTCCTGTTAGGCTCCCTGTGTAGCTTCCAGCTAACTCTTTGAGACAAAAAGCAGAACTTGCTTAAAGCGCGCAACAAATTCCTGCAGCTCCGATTTTACTTGATGTGTTTCGAATAATTTTTGCAGCGATCTATTCGTGTGGCAATAAAACTACAAATCTGTAGTCAGTCTATCATTACTTCGAAAAGTGATTCAGACCCTTTTAAGTTTCAGTGAACTTGGGCCACACTAACTGTACTGTTCAAGTGCGCCCTATTATTCTCATTTTATGAGATGCAATTCTGCTATTGCACATTTAAGTCTGCGCATATTTTCCACATCCACTTTCAATGGTATATCATTGATCATTAGATTCACAGCTCATGTGCACGTACCATCCCCAGCAACTCTAAGCAGGCTCTCGGTATCCACCATAGGTTGGCCAACTCACTCATAATTCAACTCGCTCACGAGGCCAGGATTCGGGCCCACGAGGGGCTAGTTCGTTAAACGTCCACCACGTGCCGCATGAAGTTGAACCCTCCCCCTCGTTCCCTCTTTTCTCCTCCCACCACGACGCTGACGAGTTCCCTACGGAAGTGGCCTCGCTCTTCAACCTGTTCTCGCCCACCCCTCATTGCGGGAACCAAAGAATAGCGACCCGCTGTCAGTGCATTCTTACTCACGCCGTTTAAGAGCCGGCCTGTGTAGAGTAGGCGAACAGGTTCCGGACTGGCCATGAACAATTTTTCAGACTGAGGACTTCTTTTTTTCCTTGCCTTGGTTGAATTCGAGTCCTCACAGTTTTGATATAGTCATAGATAATTTAAATACGAAGAAGCTACGACCAACTGCATTACATTCTTTAGTTTTTTTTTCGTCGTAGGTAATCTATTGTAATCATAATATCAGGTTCAATACTTAATTTGTGGCTAAGCCATATTACTTTCCGACCCAAACTTTTTGTAAGGCAGAACAAAGTTTTTAATCTTGTTTTTTTAGCTACTAGGCTATTGAAAAGCACGCAAAAAATTAAGAAAGATGTTAGTAGAACGATTTTCACAGGAGAAGCATGTCCAGTATATTGGACACTGGGATTAATTTGTTAAACAAATAGGTACACACATTCTGCTATTCTCTTAGATAGAGCACTGCTTTTGGCCCTGTTAGGTTAATAGTCTTGTAAAACACAAGCGGGGTTTGTTTTGTCCCGAGAAAACGTTGATCCTCTTCGCTGATTCTCTTCATGCTTCATGCTGTTGATAGATTCCCAGCATGCCCCAGTTTTATTTTTCTATGACTGGGCTTGAGGAGTGTGACGTCAAGCCACCTCTTGTTTTCTTTTTTTCCTTCTAAATTGAGCACGATGTGCACCAATATCATCTTGGTGTGAGTATACTGGACATAGGTAATTCTCGCATTGCCAGCAAAGTTTTTATTAGAAAAACTACATTTTTTGCAACAATGTATCAAAAAGACATGACAGAACTCGTACAATTTAAATGATTTCAATGGTGCACAAAGATATGTCCTGAAGTACTTTTGTATACTTGACCGCATCATGCGCACGCAGTTTCGCGTAGATAACGCAATTACTTCTAGTGCCTGATAAATAGGTGGAGCTGAAGGGTGAACTACACCTAAAAACATCTTACTCGACTCTTACAGAAGCTACCAAAATGGTTTTAGTTCTGACTGTAGGTCTGCTTGCTTTTATTCATCTCTTTTACCGTCATGTTTTTGTCAGTGACTAAGTATATGTACCACCTTGCTGAAATCACCAAATGATGATTGCAGTAACTGTAAATAAATAGTAATAATAAATCATATGTTCATTACACTAGTCATGGGGTAGGAAAGGAATATGCTTGGCAACCGCATGGTAAACGCTCCGAGATTGTACTGTCCAGTTATCCCTTGTGGAAGCTCTTTCGCTTTGTTATTTCTTTGTAGCGCTTATTCTTGGCGTAAATGTACATAAGAAACTGAGTATAGTTCCATAGAAAAAAAAAAAAAAAACACCAGACGCTCAGGACGGACAGCACAGTTACAGTGTAAGCTGGAGCAGCGACTTTTGTAGACCTTTTTGTAATTTAGTGTTAGCATTTTATAAAGTACCCAGCATAGTTCCGTAAAGTCTCCTTCAAACAATGGCTGCTTCAAGGGACAGCATGCCCCTGATTGTTTCTGCACTACTACCTGACAACATTTAATTAACGAGCTTCGAAACTTCAGATTAAGCAGCATCGTGTGTTTAACAAAAGATTTGCAACACCTAGAACTATTGTGTCTTTATGTTTTTGGCTCATTTCAATCGTCTTGATATATTACAAATAGTAATAGATAAATTATTTATGTAACACTTCATCTGGCGAGATTTCATTGTGACATGTGAAAGGAAATTTCATAGCGTTATTGCGCACATTACAAGTGCTTTATGCAACAGATAGTCGAATGTGCAACGATCTCCGCATTGTTGATATATGTGTTGAAGGCCTGTGCACCAATAAAAGAGCTATCGAATGGGGTCCTTGGCATACGATGTAAGGGCTAACATGCTTACCTTAAAAGCAATTTTAAACCCACACTATTTATTTAATCATCATTTCATTTATTGCATCCTTAAAGGCCCGAGGGCATTACATAAGGGGGGGCAAAAATACGCTGTGAGTGTGTATAATTCAAGTTGAACAAATTATTATAAACAGTACAGTTCTAATATGGTAGTTTGGTCAAAAATGACAACAAAAATGTACAACAAAGGTGTACATCTCATGTACGTAGTGCTTCCTCTCGCCCCCGGATGCTGTCGGAATTCAGAGCTTGATTTTGCGATAGAAGAGTGAATGCACCATAATTATTGCCTATATTAGATTGGAAAATATTGATGATAATCCACCTTTTCACTCAATGGTCTCGCTGATGTATTTGTAAACATGGCAACGGCAGGAACACTAATCATGCTGTAGCCAAGAAAAAAAAGTGATGCAGAACATTTTTTATTAGTCTATAAAACATGTATCTCTGGATAATATTCCATTAGTTGCTAACGTGAGGTCATTACTGGCAGCAATATGCTTTGATTTTCCTTCCAGGAGGAAAGAAAACTGATGTTCACGTTTGGTGCCATCGTATACAGTGTTACGGCTTCAATCCTCCCACAGTTTAGACAAGAGCATAGGATGAAAATTTAGGTGAATTACACGCTTGATACATGTAGCAATTTATTTTCAACGGCAGAGTGTTTAAGCTTCATTTCCAGCCTGGACGACGGCCTCTATGAACTTGGACCACATGTGTCAGCTAAGCGGAAACAAAGCATTGATATATATATATATATATATATATATATATATATATATATATATATATATATAACGAGTCGATAGACTGATGTAGCAAGAAGGGAGAAAGAAAACTGAGGAAGAGGTAAAGTAAATGAAAGGAATTGGGGTAGGCCACCAGCATCGTTGCTTCCACAGTCTTCTCGTGTGCGCCAGTAAAATCTGCTTTTTTTTTCTTCAGCTCAGCAATAACGATTAATTTTATATTAATGCTATACAATTCGCATTTCTTCGCACAGTGCTAAAGCGCCCGAAGTGGTATAGTTTGTAAATGTTACAAAGGGAAGTGACAATAAAATGCATCAAGGAACTAGAATAGCATTCTGTTGATAAGCCTGTCTTTTTTTTAAACTGTTCACCGTATAGGTAGGTGAACACACTAAATGCTCATATTAAAATATTGATCACAGAGGGTAGGGTTACATTCTTGGTGCTGAGGTGTACGTGACGAACTACTGGAGCAACAGCTGAGTTTTAGTGCCGGAAAGCAACACAGTGACACAATATTTACCTACGGCTTTTTTTTTTTCAATTATGGTATAGAACAGCATAAATCATTCCTAACATTTTTTTTCAGTTAGCTTGCCTGTATTAATACATCTCAGCAACCTGGTTTTACATTTATCAACGAAAAAGTTCACTCTTTACACTTTTGTGACGCCCCCTCGAGAGTTACAAACTGACAAAAATATTACCCAGCGTTGTGCATTTAGATAGGTCTTGTTTTCTTTCCGTTTTTTGCCTGCGTTTTTGTTATTATAAGCAAGCTTCACCATGGGTAGAAAACGATCACTGTACCGTGTAGAGGGACCCGTGAAAGACACACTACGCGACAACCTTCCCTCGCTGGTCACCACACTGGCAGAAAAATAGTTGAAGCCAGCCAAGCGCATTGTCATCCCATATGTGCCGGGCGCCAGTGAAGAGCTCTCCGCGATTCTCGGAAAATCAGGGGTAGAGGTGGTTCGCAAGCCTGCTCCGATGCTCACCCGCTTGCTACCACGGCCGAAGGAAGAAGCAACACCAGCGAGTAGTCTGCAAGTTGCCGTGTTCAGAGTGTCCAGCCAGCTACGTGGGCAAAAGCGAACGTTTCCATTCAGAAAGCCCGTGGAGCGGCCGACAGGCTCGGACTGGCGTTCCTGACGAGGGAGTCAGCCGCTGAGCGCTAACGTGCGCCTTGCCGGGCAGCAATAAACTTCCGCGCCCACTCG